TATAGAGAAATGAATTGTTAAATGTAAGAACATACCGCAGCAACAACAACAAGTCCTCCCGCACTCTTAAGGCGGAACGTGCAAGTATAGCCTAGTGGCTAGGCTCTCCGACACCCAACCGTAAGGTCGTGGGTTCAAATCCCGTCAGGGGCCCGACGTTGTGTCCTTATGAAAGACACTTTACACACATTTTCCTCGCTTCACCAAGGTGGGAATGGGTGCCCGGCTATAAATACAAACATGTACAGTGGAAGATTTTGTCAGTTTGTTAGAGTTTCAGCTATCTGCATCTTTCACTGTGTGCTTCCTGAGAAGCCGTGACTGTTTCTGAGTGTTTTAGGGTCTACTGGGGTAATAATAGTTGTAAAGCGCATAGAGCATCTCCCGTGTGGTTCTCGGGGCCCTGTCCAAGAGACAGGGGAGCAAAGAATAGGACCATTGTATCCGTACCGCACATGTCGTAGAAGGTCGGTTGGGCAAAGGGTTAGCAGCCCTTTCCCGTAAAACAAAAAGCAGCTACTAAAACATCAATAGCAAAAACAACACGACTGCCAGTTCTGGAAGATGGAGGACCTTCATCACCGAGGAGAGGAGAGAATATGGAGTGTAGAATGACGCAGGGTGGTGAAAGCCGGAAGGAAGCCACCAAGCCGAGAAACCTCCTGTCGACCAGAAGAACCTCCAGACTTGGCACCTGGAATGTTCGTTCAATGTACGAGACAGGGAAGGCACTACAGGCTGCAAGAAAGATGGAGGTCTACCAACTGGACATATTGGGTCTCTGTGAGACGAGATGGACGAATGCAGGGGAGTGCCAACTTGCTTCAGGGGAAACAGTTCTCTACTCTGGACATCTGGAGGAAAGCTCGCCGCATACAGAAGGAGTAGGTATTCTGTTATCAACACACGCCAAGCGGGCTTTGATAGGATGGAAAGCAGAGGGCCCTCGACTAATATCAGCTGAATTCCGTTCACAGAAGAAAGACATCAACCTTCATGTTATCCAGGGATATGCCCCCACCAATGATAAAACGAAAGAAGGGAAGACCAAAGATGACATGGAGACGAGTGGTACAAGCTGAAATTGAAAAGGCGGGGACATCATTGAAACAGATAGAAAAGGCTGCTCAGGACAGGCTTCGCTGGAGTAATGCTGTTGATGGCCTGTGCTCCACTGGGAGTTAAAAAGGGCAAGAGAGAAAGAGAGAGAGAGAAAGAGAGAGAGAGAGAGAGAGAGAGAGAGAGAGAGAGAAAGAGAGAGAGAGAGAGAGAGAGAGAGAGAGAGAGAGAGAGAGAGAGAGAGAGCATAGAGCATGCTGTAGAGCATTGATGTGCGCTATATAAAAGCAATTGATATTATACTATTGTTTTTATTATAACGCTGTGTGGCTAACGGGCTGCAACTCAATAGGTTTCCTCAGCGGCAGAAATAACACACACATATCTTATTATTGGACCGCATTTTACCAAACTTCACTCATATAACAAGCATAGTAAGGAGTCTTAAAAACCGCAATCAAATTTGACAAAATACTTCGTTTCCATGGATACGGCGGCCAAATTGGATTTTGTTGACATGGCTTACGTAATGAATACCGCACTTACTGGTCATGGAAATTGATTGGGTTTTTTTTGCATGCGTGTTAACAAACATTAGATTTAAAAAAAAGTGTCTGTTGTTTTTTTCCTAAATGAATTTTTTTTTAAAATTATGAATTTTTTTCTGAGGTACCATTCAAGTTTGCAAAAATTCCGTGAAAATTCACGCTCAAGACACCAGCAACAAAAAACTATTCCAAATATAAAAAAATTCAACAGACAAATTTTTAGTATTACATCTTCTCTTCATTCTGTGAAAATTTCATGAAGATTGGATGAAAAATGGAGGAGTTATTTTAAAAAGTATAGAGAAAAGTCGCCTCTTGAGAAAACGGCCGGTAAAGAAAAATAAAATATTGACTTTATGAGGAAATGGTGGTGATAAACATGCCCGGTATCTTTATGAGGAAATGGTGGTGATAAACATGCCCGGTATGGGAAAAAATACGGTTTTTGGAGGTTCTTATGCGATGAAATAGTTGTAGGAGAGGCTGAGAAAGCTAAAAATGCCTACAACTCAAATTCCATAATTTTGTAGCCCCCCCCCCCCCCTTTTTAATCTATTATTTGATGTTCACTCATCCCGTCTCTCACTTGGTCTTCAAAGTAGTCTCAATAACGACAAATGGAAAAGCAGCAGGAAAATCCCCACAAAAAACAACAACCTGCAGAAATGAGAAAAACCAACATGGTCATGAAAAACAAGAATATATAAGCCAAGAACCCCGAATCCACAACTCACGATTAGTGGCTCAGTAGTCTATTTAAAAAACAAAAAACAAACACGATGTAGCCAAATGTACAAACTATTCAAATCCAGGTAACAATTTATCACTTTGAGCAAAAAAAATGCTGGAATGCTACATCTTCCCCATATTCCTATATGATGAAGAGGCCTGGAATTTGACAACGAAAGAAGAAGAAAAAAAAATGTTTTAGGTGTGGTGCTACCGTAGAATGGCCAGAATAAGTTGGAAAACAAAAGAGACCAACAAAGAGGTGTGTCAGATTCTACACACAAGACAAACGCTGCTGAACAAAATTAAATGTAGAAAAATACAATACTATAGCCATTTAGAACGACACGAGACCATTGTGAAAGAGTTGCTTGAGGGAAAGAGGTGGGGCTGTAGAGCCAGAGGAAGGCAAAGAAAATCATGGATGGACCACATAAGAACATGGGCTGGGCTGGATATGGCAGAATGTGCAACGGCAGCTCACGACCGTAAAAGACGGAGGGTCATTACACGTCAACCCCTGAGTCAGAGATGACACCTCCAGTTCCAGGTCAGTTGAATCAATAGACTGCCGAAGTCACTTTCAACACTATAATACTGACGACATAATATTAAGTGTCCCATTTAATGGTGAGGCTTTTAGCCTGGTAATTAGAGTTAAGAAGACAGCTGAAGGACGAAAAGAAGGCACAGACAAATGAATTTATACTGCAAAGGTATTGTATTTCTGGAAACTGAACTTGTCTTTTGTTTGCAAAGACAAACCATTACACACAAAGACGCCGATTCTTAGCCTTCTTTAAGTCGAAAGATGAAATCGATTAAAACTAAAGAAAAATTTACAAGAGTGAAAGTTGTTCATCGTCATCAATTAAAAAAACGTAACTTACAAATATTTGACGAAAGATCGGGACAGGACACAAAAACAAAACAAAACAAAACAAAACAAAACAAAACAAAACAAAACAAAACAAAACAAAACAAAACAAAACAAAACAAAACAAAACAAAACAAAACAAAACAAAAAACAAATTAGATCTAAATTAAAAGAAATATTCGTTAATCGAAAAAACAAACAAAACGAATTCAGTGCGTGTGATATTCTACATTTTATTGACCATTTTTAAAAGGGGCTTATTAAGTTTTCCTTCTGCAAAATCTAGTAATGTTGAGCCTTCTATTTGTGATCATACCGTCCGACGCAACCTAGGAAGATCAAAATCGTTTGGTCGTCAAAAATCGAATCAAGCACAGTTCAGTAGTGACGTTAGCTGAGAAAACCATCACCAGAATGGCGTCTCTGTTTTGCAATAATTTCAGATCGACAGAACCAGTGGGAACCCTACTTGAAACACTTGAAACAAAATACAAAATACTCTCATCTCGCCTCTATTAAGCGTATAATGTCATGTTAATGCGTGTTTTATTTTTGAAATAGAGTGAAAAATAGAAAACATCAGATTACTATGTTTATTATATTTAATAAAGTTTTGCTACTCCCGTTGCATGGTAATTTGAAACCGAGCTAATATAAATGAAATAGACAGTTTCAAATACGAGGCGAGGAGTATTTCATAAACAGCCCATCTCTCTTGTAATATCTGTGTATCATTTACAATTTTCCAGTTTTATATGACATTTGTCTTGGTTTTTTTTTCTGTTCGCCTTATGCTTATGTCTTTTTTTCCCCCCATTATTTTTATCTTTCTTTTCACCTCTTTCGGTTTTAAAGTTATATCTGTCCGTTTGTCTGTATGTCTGCCACTTTTGTCTTTTTGTTTCAGTTTTCCATTTGTTGTAATCCCGCTTGTCTGTCTGTCTGTCTGTCTGTCTGTCTGTCTGTCTGTCTGTCTGTCTGTCTGTCTGTCTGTCTGTCTGTCTGTCTGTCTGT